GGCACTTCCGTTCCCCTCCTCGGGGAACGAAGGGTTACTTCTGTAACCTCGAACGTTTCTGAGTGAAGTTCCCAGAGGTCAAGGTCACATGCAAATACTTAAGAAAAAAAAATTAACTAGCCAATCTGTTGGACAATAGAGCTCAAGGAGCGTTGGTTAGGTAGAGATTTTGGAATATTTCTGAAATGGATTCCCTGTCCAAATTCTTCTTTAGTTTGGAAAACAGAAATGGCCAAAGAAAAAATATTCAGTGCTTACGGTCAGTGGATGGAACAGATTTGACTATGGATTCTGATATTCAAAAAAGGGCTGTGGGTTTTTATAAAGAGCTATATGCCTGTGGAGGACCAGTCAATTAATCAGTTTCTTGTAGATCTCCCACAAGTGACTAAGGAGTCATGTGCTGACCTTGTGTGTCCTCTAACTACAGAGGAACTTTTCAAGGCATTGCAAAGTATGAAGAAAGGTAAATCCCCAGGCCTAGATTGGCTGCTGAGTTTTACAAAGCTTACTGGTCCTTCTTGGGAGACGACTTGTTAGAGGTGTTAAGTGTAACAGGATTATTTTGGATATATTGATTTCACTATATTTTCCTCCTGTTTACATGCTGTTAATTTAAAATTGTTTTGTGTTCACAATATAAATGTAAAAAGAGTCTGTAAATTGACAGTGGTTTCACCTCTTCTCCCCCCCTTGGGTTAACATCAAGGTGGTATAGTCCAAGCAGCCATACCTGTTGGACTATTATTTGAGAGGTCTTTTCCACCTTTACCTTGAACTAAGGAGGTATGCGCTACCTGTTCCATATTGAACTTGGCTCTGGTCTTAATTAACACAAACACAAATAAATATTTAAGTTTAATTTTAATAATTTGTTATATTTACTTTTTTATTTACTTATTTATTTATATTATATTGTAGAATGTTATTTTTGTTGACAGTGTACATTTAATGTAATGAGCTGATGCTGCCAATCTGTCATAATAACACTCTCTGCGCAGGGGTCCATTCTTCCTACAGGGATTACTCAGTTAGCTGGATTTGTATATTGACGATTTGACACAATCCAGGATCGTTTCGTTCTTCAAAGCTGATCCGAGAGTTGTTGTCATAGCAACAGTTCTGCTAGGTCAAACCTGATCAGGTCGCAGGTTCAATTCAAATAAACAGGATTAGATCGGCTCAGTTCAAGCAAAGATTATACAGAAAGTATGTACTGAATTCTGATATATACTTACAGTAGTAGTTATATACACTTGGGAAAATAGTAAATATTTTTTTACTATATATATAAAGTTATAGTTATTAATAAAATAAATAAAGTTATACATATTAATAAAACTTATGCAATCTGCACCCTTGAAATGAAAGTACAAAGACTGCCACCTGGTGGTGCAAAGAGAAAACATTGATATAAACTTTTTAGATCGCTTTAGTACAAATTGTGTATAATAGAAATGCAGAATATGTGACTTTTTAAAAAAGCAGTAATACATTTTTGCAGTCACAAACATGTTTTTATAGTTAATATGCCAGTGATTTGATGCTTCACAAAAGTTGCAGATGCCTTTACCAATATCAAAATGCTTTTGAAAACAACCAGTTATTATTTACACCGATTTAAAAAAAAGCTTCTATAAGAAAGAAAATATTTTCTAAATGTAGAACTAAATACATTGATATGCATTAAAATATGATGATTACTCTTAACACATGAAAGTGTAAAGCCTGCAGCTCACAACAATTGTGGAAGGTTATTGCGTGACATATTTAACAAACTGTTTACTGCTAATTTGATGTAATTTTGCTCACATGGATAATTGAATTTTAATCAGATGATGTCATTACGCTGCTGTGCCGTCAGCCAATCGTTACATTGCTGATCATGATTTCGAGGATCTATAGATCAGTCCTTCACAACACACGCAGCGATCTCTGATCAGTTTATCCAGACATTCTAATCTGATTCGCGAACTTGTTTGAAGAACCAAATTAGCGAGAGATCAGTTACCAAGATTAAAAGATCCAGGATCTGCCAAATCATCTTAGATCATTTAAGCGAGGTACAAAGAACGGACCCCCGGTATGCATTTATGATTTTTATTTTGACAATGTAATATGTGGATTGTCACTGTTCACATGCTGATTTTTGTAATTGTGAGAGCTAGTTTTCTCTTTTCCTTTCCTGTCTTCGCATCCTTCTGCGGCGCCTCTCGCTTGTTTCCTCCGTCTTTCAATGGCTTTTTCTCTTTTTCACCTTTACCCTTAAACCAAGGAGTGTACATTTAATGTAATGAGCTGATGCTGCCGATCTGTCATAATAACATTCTCTGTGCAGACTCAAAATGGTGTCCTCTCATCCTTAACTACACAACACAGAGCAAAAGAGAGTACGGTTACATAAGCAACAGCTTGAGTAAAGGAAAACTGCCTGTAAGTTGCAGGAGAGCAGTCTTAACACTACTCCCAAAGAAAGGTGACCTCAAGGAGATTAAAAACTGGAGACCAGTGGCCTTGTTATGCACTGACTACAAGATTTTATCAAAAACTTTGGCCAACAGACTAGAAGAAGTAATGGGACAGGTAATTCATATAGATCAATCTTATTGTATGCCCAACAGGTCAATAGTGAACAACATATCATTGATCAGAGATGTGTTTAAAGTTTCTAAAATCTTTGGATTGAAGGTGGGCTTTATGACTCTAGACCAGGAAAAAGCATTTGATTGGGTCGAACATAAGTTTTTATGGAACACTTTTGAGGCATTTGGATTCCCAATTGTTTAAATTGACATGATTAAGGTGTTATATAGTGATGTTGGAAGTATACTAAAAATCAATGGTGGTTTGTCTACTCCTTTAAAAATTAATAGAGGAATATGTCAGGGTTGTGCATCATCAGGGATGCTCTATTCAATAACTTTAGAACCTTTGCTAAATAAAAAGAAGAGAATTGGAAGGTTTTAAATGTTAAAATCTCTTTTCACTAGTAAAACGGTCTGCTGATGATATAATGGTGCTTTTAATGCCCAAAATTATGTAAATAAGTTGGTTGATATTGTGACTAGTTATGGCAAGTTTTCATCTGCAAGAATTAATTAGGGGGAAAGTGCAGCTTGTCTTGTAGGACAATGGGAAAGAGAAATATTGTTTTTGCCAGATGGAATGAGTTGGTCAAAGAATACATTAAAATATTTGGGCATTTACTTGGGATGAAGCAATTGGGAAAATATATGTGATATTGTTGATGGAAGACTAGAAAGATGGGAATGGTTATTTTAAAAATGTCTTTTAGGGGGAGAGCCTTAATTATAAATAATTTAGTTGCATCCTCTTTATGACATAAACTATCCGTTTTAGAGCCACCTGCTGGAATTTTAGAAAAAAAATACAAGCCAAATTGATAATTTTTTGGGGGATTAAATTACATTGGGTACCTAGAGCTGTGGTATACCTTCCAAAAGAAGAAGGTGGACAAGATATTATTGATTTGATGAGTAGAAAAGCAGCTTTTAGGTTACAATTTGTACAAAAATTTCTATATAAATCAGATGTGTGTTGGACTAGCATAACGAGTTGTCTTTTACGTAAAGTTGGTGGATGGGGTTTTGGAAAGAAACTTTTTTTGTTGAACTGTTCTAAATTTGATTTAAAGTGTATATCTCCTTTCTATGAGAGTGTTAGAAGAGCCTGGCGTTTAGTGAAGAATAAAAGAATGTTGTCTCATAAATCTTTATATTGGTTTTTGGAAGAACCACTAATAAATGGCACTCGCTTGGACCTTTTGGTTGATAAAATACCTGGTTTAAAACATTTGCTTTTTAATGCAAAAATGACAAAAATTATGAACTTAATAGAAGTGGCTGGGAAAATTTAGACAATGCCGATACAGTCGCTCAAAGACTAAATAGGAGATCAACAAGAAAAGTTCATTTATTGCTCAAAAAAACTAAGAGAAACACTGAGTCAAAAAGACTGGAACTTTTTATCATTACAAACAGTGCCAAATATAATGGATTCGTTTCCAAGTTTGGTCATACAACAAAATCCTTCAGGAATGGAGAGTTTAAAGATTTCAAAAGACATTGTTTTTAATTCATTGGGAGGAAAGATTTTGTATAAGATTTGTATAAAAGTTACAAACCAAGAAAAATTACAATGTGTCGATACACCATGGAGAGAGCATTTAAATGTTGATAGTGATGTTATGCCTGTTTGGAGTTCAGTTTACAAGCCACCGTTGACTAAAAATGTTGGAGATCTTCAGTGCCGGATGTTAAAGTGTATTATTGCAGTCAATACTTTTATTTCAATACTGAATCCAACTGTGCATGATAAATGTCCTTTTTGTGATGAAAGAGAGACAATTTTTCATTGTTTTATGCATTGTGAAAGACTGGGTTTTTATTCAATTTATTGGAGGTTATTTTGCTTTCCGTTGATGAGACGTTTACAAAAACTGTGTTTGTGTTTGGTTTTAAATATGGAAATAAAGAAAAAAGAAAAGGGCGTCTGTTAAATTTTATTTTAGGACAAGCAAAAATGGCAACATACATGAGTAGGAGGCACAAGATTTTGTATGAGACCAATCATAAAGTTGAACTGATTTTTAAAGGGCTTATAAGAGCAAGAATAAGGCATGATTTTAATTTTTATTGGTCAATGAATGAGTTACACAAGTTTGAAGGCATGTGGAGTGTAAAAACAAATGTTGTGTTGGGTTGAAAATAATGTATTGATTTTTGATGAAAATATTGTGTGATTTGGAAATGTGTTTTGTTTCAATTAATGAAACATGTTGTAGATTAAAATTTTGTATTAAATAAAGGTGTATTCAAATTTTAAAATTTCTCTCTCTCTCACACATACACACACACACAGAGAGAGAGAGAGAGAGAGAGAGAGAGAGAGAGAGAGAGACACTTATGAACATTGTAGCTAACTTTTGCATAAATTCAAATAAGAAAACAACAGATATTAAAAGAGATAAAATTTCTCACCTTGTTCTTGACCTGTTGGGAGTATTTGGGTTGTTTGACTGTTTGCATGTTCCCTCTCGATTGCGTTTTGGTTTGGTTTGTGCTGCTGTGTTGTTGTTCCAGAAGTGGCTGTATTAGTAATAAATTATAAGTTAATAATTCACATAAATAATTAAAGCTTTTGCTAAAATGATAAATAATGGCTTTGCAAGGAATATTATTCTGTAACAACTTCTATAAAAATATTTGTGGTTATTTGTATGATAAAATATTTTTTAAAGGTATTTTGTAGCTGTTAAATGTAATAATGTTACTTACATTAAATTCAAATTTATTCATTTAGGAGATGCTTGCATTTATTCAAAATGACTTACTAAAACAATCCTTTCAACTCAACAGAGTTAGCTAAGCTGTTCTTGTTTTTTAATTATATTTTATTATTTATTATTATTATTATTATTATTATTGTGATTATAACTGAGTAATTTTACATTCTACATTTTTGTGAGTTAATGTGTACATTTAGGAGATGCACAATACTTATATTCTCTCCAGCAGTTGGTGTTGGCAATGGATCTGGCGTAGCAGTTCGTTTTAGATCTATAAAGAAGGCAGAATAATGACACAACATATTACACAGAAATGCAGTAAAATAAATTTTTTATCTTTATTATGAAAATTAAAAAGCTGCTAAGCATAAAGTGATTTAGCGTACCATCATAACAGATGAAGGGTAAATTTTCGTTGCATTGAGCTTCATTCCTTATACTTTTTTCATTTACAATCCATTTACATTTGTTTGAACTGCTGTTGTTGTGTTTTTCTGGACTCAAACTACAGGCACAGAAGCAAGAGTTGTTCTGATCCAACCACAAGCAGTCATCTTTAAACAGTCCAATCCACACATCATTTGTTATAAAACCCCAGTTGTAGTTTTTCAGAACAATTAAAATGGAGTTTTCTAAGCTGATTGAGGAATTTTTTAAATCTGTAAAGTTTTTGCAACTTTGTTGAGCACCTCTCTTGAATTCCCTCTTCTCAATCTGGATTTGCGTGTTGTTTCTTGCTATGGAAAAAATGCACAAGCAAATTTGAAAATAGTCTGCAGTAGTCATCATTTCTGATATACAAAACAAAATCAGCAGAGATGGCAAAAGTACACACATTCTTTACTCAAGTAGAAGTACAGATACTCATTTAAAATGACTGTGGTAAAAGTTGAAATACTAATTACACTTTTGTACTCCAGTAAATATAAAGAAGTACAGCCTCAACTGTACTTAAATAAAAATCCATTACTACTATGTGTTTTAGTATCACGAGCTAGGTAAATATCCGGTTTCCCCTACAGTCCAAAGACATGCAGTATAGATGAATAGATGAACTAAATTGGTCGTAGTATATAAGTGCATATGTGAATGTAAGTGTGTATGGGTTTCCGAGTACTGAGTTGTGGCTGGAAGGGCATCCGCTGCTTACAACAAATGCTGGAATATTTGGTGGCTCATTCCGATGTAGCAACCCCTGATAAATCAGACTAAGCTAATGGATAGTGAGGGGATATTGATACATTAAAACAAAATAACTTGCATTTCAAATTTTTATGTAAAATATTTATTGCCAAGTTTATGAAAGTAGCAAAGCAGCATTACACCCTGTAATATTCACCAAGATTGCTCAAAAAGTCAGCCTAGTGTCATCGTCCTGACGCAAACTCACAGTGTTTAGCATGTAGTTTTGTGGTTGATTGATCAAAAACAACAGCTGCCACTCATGGTTATACACTCTAAACATAAATGTATCTTTATAAATAATTAAGACATTATAAATGATGTCTTACATTTTACATTGAATTCTGTCCAAAATATATTGTTCTTTTTTCTTATGCTTAAATAAATAAATAAGAAAATAAATAGTCTTTACAAAAAAAAGGCACTTTTTCCTCATGCAGTGTGATTGGAAATGGACAAAACAGTCTAATCTTAAGCATTTAAATGGCATATTTTGAACTGGTATGTGTCTCTCTAATTTACCTGTGATCTGATCGAGCAAAATGTGTCTTATTACTGTGTAAACTGGGCAGCATCAGTCATGTTCAATTCGCTGAATCCCTCTGTCTTATTTGTGTAGTCATCATCGCCTTTTTATGATAATCTTCATAAACTAGCCTACATAATGTGCGTGATAGCCTTGGTTAAAAAAAAGTCATTCACTGCAGCATGCAGTGAATAGATAGATTGCATCAAAAAGAGGCTCAAATTGCACAATGACAAGAAACAGAATTTTCCTTTTTTATTATAGTGTATGCAGTGTACACAGCAAAACCTGTTGTTTTACAGATATTTTCTGTAATAAAAATTCTAACATTAAATTTACAGTTACTGCTTTTATTTTGGTATTACTTTTTTTGTTTTTTTTGTTTTTTTCTGTATTTCAGAGAGTAACACATCATTTTACGTTATTATTTACAGATTATTCCTGTAAAAAAATTCTGTCAGTCAAATTGTTTTTAGTGAAGATAGTAATCATATGAAGATTAAAGTGAGGTTAATGTCAAATAATAGGCTATTGTTTGTAGACTGTATATAATGCATGCACTGTAAACTATAAAATGTTTATTTTACAACTAACAATGTTGCAATGCTAATTGCTACGATCACCAGTGATCTAGTGGCTGTGGATTGCTGGAAAGCCACACACACGCTACTTTAATGAACTACAGCTCCCAGCATCCACCTCACACACCCAGGTTTCTAATTCTGACTGATTACACACACAGTCAGTTAGTTTTAGTAAAAAAAATAAAATAAACTAAATAAATAAAAAATTAGATGTATAACATTTTGTGTTTTTTCAAACAAATTGTTCTGGAGTTTAACCTACATATCCAAAAAAAAAAAAAAAAAAAAGTCAAATTATACTATAGTTTATAGTTATATTCACAGTGTTTTATAAAAACAGCAATCAATAGTTATTGTTGTTTGTTATTTTTTCTGTTTTAAAAGTATGTTAAAAATTTATAGAATATTTAGAGATGTCATGCATAATTACATGAATTAATCTGTATAATCACATTAATTAATGTGTATAATTACAGTAATAACCTGCATAATTACAATAATAATCATTATAATCACATTAACTAATTTGCAATTGCATCAATAACCTGAATTATTACAGTAATAATCTTTAAAATAACATTGATTGATTTGTATAATTATGATAAAAATATATATTTATAGTAATAATTTGTAAAATGACAGTAATAATCTGTATAATTGCAGTAATAATTAGTAAAATGCCAGTAATTACCAGGTTTTTTTTTTTTCAGTTTAAATGCAAAACAGTAATAAACTGTAATTGAATGAATTTTGACGGTAAAGTATGTTTTGCATTTTTACATTTTTTTTTTTTTTTTGCATGTTATTTTGTGAATTCTCTGGAAGCCCTGCTGCCTGTCTTTTGACAACTATTTTGTACAGTGTAAAGTGATACCAGAAAAATAAAAAAACAAGTATTTGCACTTGGTTACTTCCCATCTCTGAAAATGAGGTAAGAAATGACATAAAGCAGCTAAATATTAAACTCACAGATTTATCCAATTATTTGAAAGAGGTAATGCTTAATTTTGATTGCAATGTGTCATAATTTATTTATTTGTTTGTATTTAAGTGTTGTTGTTGATTACTGAAGAAATTTCAGAAAACTATTAGTTTTAGTAATTGAATTGTCATTTTAACTTATTAATTTATAAATTTAGTAATTGAATATACCTACCAGTATAGCAAACAAATTGTCTTTCTGAATTAGAGTTATTTGTTCCAGTTTCAAATCCTTTATTATTTTCATCTGGTTGTTCCTTTTTCCAATTTTGGAGTGTTTTTGCATTGTAGAAAGTGTCTGGCATACACCAATGCCAACTAAATCTCTCCTGTCTGTAAAGTCCAATGTAAACATCATTTAAAACATCAGTTATGGTCTTTGTCTCATCTCCATTTTTCACAGTCACCAGGCCAGTGTACTTCTCACGGCAAAACCTCTGAGCCTCAGTCCAGTTCTTTGTTATATTTATGAAGTGATATTGTTGAGATATTTGACTAGAGGAACAACATCCCTGAGAAGAGTCCCCTGTGAGGGACAACATCCCTGAGAATAAAATAGTATTATCAATTATTGGATAAAAAAATACCTCTACCAGGAAAAATGTAAAAAAATAAATAAATAAATAAATAAATAAAACTTACCTAAGACAGCAAGTAGATCAAACAGCATTATGTTCATGGAAGTGGCACACCTGTGTGTTAAAGCATATTACAGTTCTCAGTACATTCTTGCCCTTTAAAAGGAAATGATCTTGATAAGCAAATAAAAACCACCTGTTCCTGTTACAAAACACAGATGGGAAGAGTTTTCTTCACAAAGAGAAGTACCTAACACATTCAAATAAATCTTATTTGAATACTTCCCTTGAAATTGTTGAACTGCTAGTCTAAAACTACACATTTATCAATAAGAATTCTGCTGTACAACAAACTGCAAATATTACAGTATTAGGACTAAAGTGTCATTACAGCAAATATTGCAGTCATATTCAGAACAATCATATAATAAAATAAATAAATAATAAATAAATAAATAAAAAGACAGTTATTACAGTTAAGACAGAGTCTGTTATTTTGTGTTCAAGAGATATACATCATAAATCTAAAATAAATAAATTATAGATTCACAAATATAACATTTTGGTACACTTTTGTTATATGTTGGGCTAAATTTTCTTCCAAAAAATTACCATATGGACTGCCTTCAGGGCTGAGCTGTTTTCAAAGACTAAGGTTGACTTTACTGAAAGGACTTATTAGGCAATGTACTGAACATTTCACTATTCATTCAATCATTTACATTTATTAATCCGGGGTCGCCACAGTAGAATGAACCGTCAACTTAAACAGCAAGTTTTTACGCAGCAGATGCCCTTCCAGCTGCAACTCATCTCTGGGAAACATCCACACACGCATTCACACACACACACACACACACACACACACACATACACTACAGACAATTTAGCCTACCCAATTCACCTGTACCGCATGTCTTTGAACTGTGGGGGAAACCGGAGCACCCAGAGGAGAACATGCAAACTCCACACAGAAACACCAACTGAGCCGAGGTTCGAACCAGTGACCCAGCAACCTTCTTGCTGTGAGGTGACAGCACTACTTACTGCGCCACTGCCTAGCTAACATTTCACTAGTAAGTTTTAAATACTTCCTACTGACACACCTTTGGTAATGTGACCATTATTTAAAACTTACTACTTACTTACTACTTAAAAGATTCCATTACAGCGCATCAAGTTCATAATGTTACAAAACACAGCCCAATGATTTATGTATAGATGAAGTTCGAATTATTAGCCCTCCTGAATTATTAGCATGATTTTTGATTTGCAGATATGAGTAAGAACATGTATTTCATAATTCAATTATTTGATCTCTGATGGATGATGTGCACCTTCATGTTTTCCTGTGCAGTAGAGAGATTAAAGCTGCTGGATTTACAACATGTAACTTTATCAACTTCAGAAATACATGAAAAATGTCAGGCATTCACCCCGGGCCACGATGTGGCGTGTGGCTGGCCGCGGGCCAAGTGGCTGATAAGAGTCATCCCGCTGCTCTTGGGCGAAGCCTAAATCACTGCACAGCAGCTACCGTCCCAGAATCTCCTGGAATATGCTCATCTGAAGCGAGTCTAACCAAGGTTACCAGAAAGTAATATGACATAATTTAGTTAAAAAATATAAAGAGATAATAATAGGAAAAGTATTGACAACTAATGAAAGGGACTTAAATTGTAGTGTAAAATATAAATTTTCGATTATTATGTGTCCTTAGTTGATGGTTAATGTAGCCAATCATTAGGCGTTTTCATTTTTAAGGGGTGGTCCAGAGTGTAATTTTAAGGCTTGGTTGTGTTTATAAAATGCAAAGCAATGTGGGCTCATGTTTCACTTGAAGGAAACCGTGTATTTTTTCATATATCTCACTTTGATTATACACAACTACTCAGCTAACATGAAAAAGACTGTCATATTTCCTAGTTCCTCTAAAAGACTCGCCCTTAAGTGACTCTGATTGGTCATCGTCATAATGTGCTGCTATTGGCGGATCGGCTCCATGTCACGCCCGTAAAAGCACGCGCTTTTCTGCTGTGTAAACATGCAGTCAACCTCCCGCCCGCTCTCTAAAACAAAATCTGACAAGTGTCTGTAACTAACTAGTGAAAATGGGGTCCGGCTCCTTTTACAGCGTCTGTGTGTGCATCTATGTGTGTGTGGTGTGAACTTTCTGTAACAAACGCATGTGCACGGGACTTTTTCTGTGATGCTCGGATTAAGTTATTTTCTGTAATATATCGTGACAGAAGAATAAAGCACAAGATGTGATATGCTACCTGTTGAGCCTTGATTTATTATTCTGCTGCGACCACGAGTCAGGTAAGCTAATCTGTACTTTTTGTTAACTCTATGCGTTACATGACGTCTTACACGTGTATCCGGAATATGCAGGTGTAAGTAATATGAATCATCCACATATCTTTTGCGACTTAATTATCTGAGATGTGAAACACATGGAAAAGCTGCCTGAAGACAATCAGTGCAGTCACGCATACACATAAGAGACCGTGCTGGTGGAGTGTGTGTGTGTGTTTATAGCAGTTTGACTTATAAATATGAATTTGTAGCTAAATCATTTGCCCGCAAAGCAGCATTTCACATTGTTTACATCATTGCTACAGCATACCGTTAACGCTAGACACTGTACATGTCATGATCAATTTTAACAAATAAAAACTCTTACTTGTAGCTTACAACTTCTGCTTTGAGGAGATTTTAGCCGAATCCAGCACTGAACTGGGAGAGATTCTGGAGCTGTTTGGTCAAATCATGCTTGCTGTGTGTTTTATAATTCTCTGGAACATAATTAATATTGAACTAAAGGCACTTCTGTGTTTGTGTCATGTCCTTTGGATCCCAAATACAGAAACAGACGAAGCTCTGTGGAAACAGCCGTGTTTAGACGCATTTTTAGCTTCATCTCTGCTATAACGTTCCAGCGCCTCTGGCCACAGCCCTTACCTGCATGCGCAGTGTGGGATGAGAGAGACTTATGGGGCACTTCCTGTCAAAAAGTTTGATGGATTGTAGCCCCGCCCACTAAGGCGGGACTTCCGGTTTAAGCCCCCGCCCCTTTTGTATAAACTTTATAGATCCGGTAATTAGATTCTTATCGGTTTAATAAAAAATAATAATTCCGGTAATTAGATTTTTATCAGACTAATTAAATTAATAATTCAGGTAATTAGATTTTTATCAGTCTAATTAAATTAATGATTCCGGTAATGAAAATATTGGTAATTAAATTCTAATCAACCTGAAATAAAATTATTATTATAATAATAACGGTAATTAAATTACTGTTATTAGAACCATTATTTAATATTTTAATTAGTGCTGTAAATTATATTTATTATATTACATCAAATTATATTATATTTAAGTTGTATAAAATTAGTATTTTATTAAATAATATTATGTATTGTATTATATTATATCATATTAAGTTATATTAAATCATTATTTTATTAACTTATATTATAATTATATCATATTATATTATATTATTATATTATATCATTATATTATATTATTAAATTATGTTATATTATATTATTAAATTATGTTATATTATATTATATTTGACAATATTTTATTATATCATATTGTAATTAATAAACTATTACCATAAACATTCCTTTATGTTTAGCTTGTTTGTGTTTCATCTGTGTGTCAGTCTGTGTCTGAGCGTGTAAGTGATGATAAGGGAAACTTTGGATAACATCCCGTCAACTGCTTGTGAAAGATAGATTTATATCAGATGTAGAATATGTATATCTGATTGTATGTGGTGGATGTCTCCCACTAAATACTATATGTTGAAAGTGTGCTGATATCTATATATCCACATGCAGTCAACTGTATGCATAGGTATGTGTGTGTGTGTTTGTGTGTGTGTGTGCGTGTGTGCGTGTGTGTGTGTATGTACGTGTGCGCGCTCTCAAGCGAACTTGGGTCTGGCTTTGTATGCTTGAATTCACGACACAGTATTTACTTATTATGCTCATTAATAGGTTATGTTGTTTTTCACATTAATACATATTTTAAGACAGACAAACATTTTAATATATCTTTGGCGGACTATTAAATTTAATATGTTTACAATATTAATCCAGTAAATAACAAATCTTAATCTGTATTGACAATTTATTGTCACACCTTTTAAAACAACGTTATCTAAAATGTAATATTCTAAAATGTTGGTTGAAAAACACAGATGTAAATTCAAGTTGTCTTTGTGATTAATGAAAACTTTTATTATGAAAAACATTTTGAAATTAAAGTTTTTCCTTTGACTAACATGTTTTCAATTTATTTACATGCATGTCCTGTAATTTATGGCATACATTGTAATACAGTCAATCCAAAACCTAATGTTTTGAGTACTGGTCATCACTGATGTAGGTTTTTAAAAAATCAACATAAAATATTTACAAAAAGAACTTATCAATCTTTAGACATTATTGTTATTTCTTTTTTAAAAGATAAATAAAATGTATAACTCGTAGTAATTGTATTACTAGACAACTTAGTTACTGAATTTTAAATTTAAACTGTTTTTAATTCATTGCAATTACTTGATCATATAAAGAGAAATATGTTTATTATTCTCAATAATGGAATAACGCTGATATTTATTTAAAGAAGAAAAATTGGCTCTCAGTTTATCTAAAAACTGTATATTACAAAACATACATGTTTTTAAAACTGTCAGTTTTCAAAAGTCACTCAACGTTGTTCCCATTCTTCGGGGGGTTTTAGGAACAACGATGTTTAATTTATTAAAGTTGGTTAACGTTTAAGACAACCCAATAACACACAGCTCTCATGTGCAACGGTTTTGTAGTCAGTTTAGAAAGACTACCTAAAAATTTTCTCCCAATTTAGTTTTAAATCTAGATGTAGTAAGAATCACTTTCATAATTTCTCTTTTATTTGAAAAAGTATATAAACAACAGGTATATATAATATTGTTGGTTGTCTCTGGTTTAAAACCAAAACATTTACAACTCAAACTTTTATGACAGTTGAAAAGCATACATTTTTAATACACAGTACAATAGACACTTTTGCAAAAATATATTACTGCAGATTTAGTGTCAAATATTCATTAAGTTTTGTAGACAGATCGACTATTGAAAGATCAC